TATATATATATACTGAAGAGAGAGAGAGAGAATACAAAGAATAAATAATTGCAATCTCCTTTATGAAAGACAATAAAAATAAACAGTAATAATATCAAATTCAGTAAATGTGCTAGATTTAGTTCATAACCCTGTAAAGCCTGACGTCTGTTATGTAACTTGTTATGCCAGAGATGCTGCAAGAGACGTGATCCATCTATTGAATGATTGTATAGAAAAACAATGGAAAATAGTACTTTTGACTGATCTATGAACATTCTAAAACAAGTTGTTAAAAAAAGTTTAACATTCAAAAAAAGGTTCCGTATGTATAAATGTTTTTTGTGCTAAGACTCATAAAGACCAGATAACTTTGCACAAACATTCTGTTAATATTAGTGCAAAACCATTTGTTTGTAAATTTGAGAGAACCTTGCCAGAACATTGGTCAAAGTTCTGAGAACGTTCCCTGCTGGGTAGCTACTTCCCAACACTGCTGTCTGAGTGCCTACTGTATAGTTTAGTGTCTTTTGCCTGTAGCTCATTGCTAGGAAAACGTATTGCGTTTTATGGGTTTTTCTTTTTCAGAAGCTGCTGCTGAGCCATCACTCCATCTGAAATATAACTCACCAGGGCTCCTTCCTCCTACAGAACAATCAGAGCAGTGTTCCCACTGAGTTATACCATTATCTACAATTTGCTGTATCTCCTCCTTATACCGGAAGGATTGTGACTAGAGTGAGGTTGTGGTTTAGATGAACATGTCTCTTTCAGACATTCATTTAGAACTGCATATATGCAATTCGTGCAAAACAAACACTCTTAAGTGTTACAAAGGAAGTTCTTTTGACTTCAATATCTACACTGCCTTTTTTTTAAAGAAGTCTCTTAACGCCTGAATTTATTTGTTAAAAAATGCAGTAAACAGTGATAATTGTAAAGTGGTATTACAATTACACTTATACAGAAATATACAGGTGCATCTCAATAAATTAGAATGTCGTGGAAAAGTTAATTTATTTCAGTAATTCAACTCAAATTGTGAAACTCGTGTATTAAATAAATTCAATGCACACAGACTGAAGTAGTTTAAGTCTTTGGTTCTTTTAATTGTGATAATTTTGGCTCACATTTAACAAAACCCCACCAATTCACTATCTCAACAAATTAGAATACTTCATAAGACCAATGTAAAAAAAATTTTTAGTGAATTGTTGGCCTTCTGGAAAGTATGTTTATTTACTGTACATGATGTGTGTGTGTAGTTTGTGACCTGTTCGGAAGTGTCTCTGAGCTAAGGACACACTTATAAAGTCTTAATCAGGAGAGTCTCTCCTTAGGCACAGTGATCACCGTCTCAAGGGAGTGTTTGCTCAGTGAACACATTTGAGGAGAAATTAACCTGGATGCGGTCTTTGGCATGTTCCACTGAGACTTCCCAGAGAAGTATTCACTCCCTAATCTCTCTGACAGACACAGTCTGCGTCTAAAGTAGATCTTTAAACCTTTAAAGCTGTTCCAGTCATTACAAGAAATACAGATGACTTTTAGTGTGTTTGAGCAAGCAAGAGAGATGACGAGAGAGGAGAGACTTTCTTCATAATAGCATAGACTTTTTGAATTGATTTTGTTCAATTTACATTTTATTTTATTCCTGTGTATTTTTAGTAATCATAGATATTGCACATTTAATTAATTTTGTTAAACAATGTGTATTAGGGGAAATGCAATTTTTCCAAGTAATCTTGGATATTCATATGTAAATTGTGGTTCTAGCACACATACATTTTTGAAAATTCATTATTGACAGAATCTACAACATAAGAATTTGACATATATGAACAACTTACTAGAAGCAACAGTTTAAAGTTTAAAAAGCCTCTCACAATCAATTTGTTTATTACAAACACACAGCTTTTCACTTTTCAGGACATTAATTGATGGACTGGAGTTATGTGAATGACTCATTGATTATTGTGATGTTTTTATCAGCTGTTTGGACTCTCATTCTGACGGCACCCATTCACTGCAGAGCATCCATTGATGAGCCAGTGATGTAATGCTACATTTCTCCAAATCTGTTCCAACAAAGAGACATAATTTACATCTTGGATGCAGGTCATCTAAGAGTAAGCGAATTTTCAGCAAATTTTCATTTTTGGCTAAACTATTTCTTTAAAATGTATTGGTATATTTCATGAGAAAAGAATGGAATGGGTTAGGAGCTCATATAATGATAAATAAAGATTATTTTGTTTCTAAAGCTTTGTGTACATGAATACCTTCACGTTTCAGATTCTGTCAATATGCCAAAATGCATAAACATTATACATATAAATACTAATTAGATCAGTCTAAATTTTTTATTAGCTGGAAATATTTCGTACCAGCACTATTCAAAGCTGAATAAAAAAATATGTATTTAAATGCAGTATTTCTAGCGGCTCGGTTTGCCATCTTGATGGGGAATTATTTGTCAAACTTGTCACAGTGCTCTATGAAAGATACATGCAAAGCTGCCTCACTGCAGTTTCATGCATATGATGTCTAAAATTGCTGTCTTAAGTAGGAATATCCCAAGGTTTTGACAGAGCATATCTGTCTGTTGGTAAATTATCGGACTGAATTAGAGGCTTGAAAAAATGTGTATGAATGTTTGTGTGTTACTGCTTTATAATGCTTTTTGCAATCTACAGTATGTACTGTAATCATGAAGTGAAGTCCATATAACAGCAGGAGTTTAGTGCTGTGTTTTAACAGCCTGATTAAAATGGAAGAGGTCTGTCCTCTCTGCCAGTGCAGTCTCCATCCTTCACTGGACATGCACTATTAAAATTAAAGCATTCACATTTGCCAAAAAAAGTAATACGTTCGGTTATGCCCTACCCTTGAGTAAGACATACACACAAACACGTTTGTTTTGTTCAATAACAGTGGTAAATTTCTATTGATTAATTAGAGGCTTGAAAAAATGTGTATGAATGTTTGTGTGTTACTGCTTTATAATGCTTTTTGCAATCTACAGTATGTACTGTAATCATGAAGTGAAGTCCATATAACAGCAGGAGTTTAGTGCTGTGTTTTAACAGCCTGATTAAAATGGAAGAGGTCTGTCCTCTCTGCCAGTGCAGTCTCCATCCTTCACTGGACATGCACTATTAAAATTAAAGCATTCACATTTGCCAAAAAAAGAAATACATTCGGTTATGCCCTACCCTTGAGTAAGACATACACACAAACACGTTTGTTTTGTTCAATAACAGTGGTAAATTTCTATTGATTTCTGTTGTTTTTGTACTGAACTAATGATATTTGTTGATATTTATCTCTCCATAAACTTAATCCCTTTTTTTAAGCGAAATTTTTATTTTATTTTATTATTTTAAGGATATTATAGAAATGTTGACAAATCTGGCTAATATTTGCGATTATGATGATGATACAAAGCAAAAACCTGACAAACACACGCTCACCTCAGGTTCTCTGGGGTTTCAGTTGAGTATAATCATCTCTGTCAGACTGGACAACCTGGCAATATCATGTTAGTGGTTTTGACAATAAAGAAATGGCTACGTGTTACTGTTCACATCATGGTCATATCTCAGTCCTTTGTGTATCTTTGTCCTTTCCCAGATGTTTTGCTTGTCTTAGTCGACTCGTCTCTGTTCAACATCACCACTGGATGTCATAGTCATAACTCTGCTGATTAAAATGGCTTTGACTCTGTGCCTAGAAAGAAAATCCTCCACTGCATCAATAAGTGCGCTGGCGGCAGAGCAACACGCAAATAGAGGCGTCACAGGCCATGACTAATTCAAACTTGCTGTGGGTTATAAAACCTTATTATAACACTCATTTGAATTAGGCTGCTGGTGAAGGGATCAGAGCCCCATTCAACCTGTGTGCATACTGCTGCTGCTCAGCCAGCTAAATGTTTCCCCACTGAACTGAGGCACAGAAGGAGAAAAGGAAGAGAGAGGTATTAAAATCAGTATTCAAAGTGTGTGTTTTAAAGGGTGTTTTTAGTGCATTCCTGTCCTTTAAAAGCGGTAAAAAGCTGCTGACGCAAGTCAATTTCCTGGTTTTCTGTCTAAGTTGAATGAATTTTGTTTTTATCAGCTCAGACATGAATATGAGGGGAATGTGATAAATTGAGTGTGAAAAAAGGAGAGTAATAGAGGTGGGGCATAAAAATAAAGTGAGTAATTTATTTTGTATTCCAGGTAACATTTGAGAGACAGACATTTAAGACTGATGGTGGCAAGCAGAATTTCTTTTTAATATACATTTTCCTTTCTTAATGCTATGCATCAGTGTTAAGAAAAACATCTATCTATCTATCTATCTATCTATCGTTGTATCTTTCTGTTTTGCTTTTCTAGTTAAAAAAAGTGATAATAGTGAATGTTGCATTTTAATTCTGCTACTTTACAGTTAACATTTAAAATGCAGTTCTGCATCTTGTTTGCTTGTTCAATTCAAATTCAAATTCAGGAACCGAATTGGAATTTAAAAAGGCATTTTCAATGAAAATTTGGCACCAACCCCTGTTGTAGACCAAATAGATTAATATTGTCTTTCAATGCCTTATTTAGAGCTGTGATACTTTTAGTTGTCTCTTAGTGTGTGTTTGTAGCATTTATGTAAGTTCACAATACTGTCATCAGTATTTTATTGTGTTCATATCTGTTACTTTAAGTGGCATGTGTGTTTATGTTTGTGGTACAGAGTGTAAATAAGGACTCTCTCACCCTCCCTCCCTCCCTCTTTCTCTCTCTGTCTCTTTCTCTCTCTCTCTCTTTCGCTCTCTCTCTCTCTCTCTCTCTCTCTCGCTCTCTCTCTGTCTCATCTGTCGCTTTAAGGAAGCATGGGGCAGGTTTAATTTTTTAACGCTCCAGACCACAACAGCAGCCAGCGACAAAAAGAGAGAGAGAGAACAGAAGAGGGGGAGGGAATAGAGGAATGAGAGGGGTGTGTGTGTGAGGACATGAAGAGAAGGAGGGATTTTGAGTGATCGGAAAAGAAGGAGGGTTCTGAGTGACAGAGAGGGAGGGCAGAAAAAAGGTAAGGGGAGGGTTTACAAAGAGATGGAAAGAGAGAACGAGGGAGTAAAGCAAAGCATGTTGCCAGTGTTGGCTCCGTAACTCACTGTGAGTGGGGACAGGAGGGAGAGCAAAAAAGAGAGACGGAGAGTCACACATTCACACACTCTCTCAATCACTCTCATACGCACACACACACACACATAAACTCTCACATTCTCGCACATATTCAGAGGTGCCTTGCTGAAGAGACCTTGTTACACATGCTTGCAGGGGTGAGAATACTTTAAGCAGTGAAAACTGGGCTAAAACTGAAGACAGGAGCGCTGGAACAGACCCCACAGCTCATGAGGACCTTCTTCAAACGGGACATTCACAGCATGTGAAGCCGGACGAACAGATATGTGCACCATCCATCCTTAACATTCCTTCGTTTCATCCCTCCATCCGTGCCTCCCTCCTACCTCTCCTCTCAAGTGGTGTGAAGGACACGGAGCTACGAGTTCCTTAGTGCTCTGCCTGGTTGCCTTACGGGAGTCTGGGGGAGGCTTGGTGCTCTCCTGCGCTCTCACTCGTTCATGAATGTCACCTCTATCTGCGGAAGCCCTTGGAATTTACAAACACTCTCTCGGGAGCTTGGGGAGAGAGAGCAAAGGGGGATGTCAGAAGGGCTGAGAAGGGAGAGAACTTACGATTCCTTTCATCCTTATCCATCTGATCATCCACAGACATGAAGTCCAGGGTTGACGACAGCAGTTCTTGACTTTTACTCAGTGTGTCTGTCTTTGTTTTTGGTGTTTTTGCAGTCGGAATCAGGTAATGGAGTTTCTCTAAGACTGTCTCAGGGTATTGTTCCTTTTCTCAGTAGGATCTGTATTTTAGTTCGTTTTATGCATCCCTCGATCTTCTCTGTTTTACGAGGATCTCACTGATATGTGGAGCCGTGCGGGTAAAGCGATTGGACAATTTATGCCTTTTTTCTGAACTCGCAGAATGATTTCTGATCCGGGTGATTTCTGAAGATTTACCCACACTAAAAGGTGGAAGGGAAGTGAGAGACCAGGGCTTCTGGGGGCTCAGAGCTTCAGGGATAGAGTCGGATGGAGGGTATGGTGGTGCTGTGATGGCTCACTTATCTTCCAGAATTCTAGTACGTTTCCATGGATCATCAGCTGCCAGTTTTCCAGTCCGTATGCTGTGCAACGAGACCTGAAATACAACAAACAATCCCAACAACGACAGCTGCCGTTCATCAGAATCACAACACCAGGAATTCTGCATTCCAGTGACTGTTTTGATAGCCAAAGAAACAAATAAAGTTTATTGTGAACTTCACAACTGTTTTGACCCACCCCCTTACCCCTCTTAAACCAAGCCCCTTTTTGTTCCCTACCAAGTTGTGACGCATTCTCCCCTTGGTTATTGTGGGAGACCCCGCTGTTCTCCAAACATCTGCTGTCTCCTGCTCCTGTCCTCCGTGGCCCTGGGTGATCGGACAGGTGGGCGGCCCACTGACATCCTCTGCGCCCTACGGGTGAGCCGGGCACAGCAAAATGGCTGCCCTCGCCAGCTCACTGATCCGGCAGCGCAGGGAAGTCAAGGACCCCCAGGCCAACCGCCAGATCTCCACCAAACGCAAGCCTTGCCCCAAGAGCAACAAGTCGCTCTGCCAGAAACAGATCCTCATCCTCATCTCCAAAGTCCGGCTTTGTGGCAGTCGAGGAAGAAAACTAGAAAAAAGACCCGGTGAGTTGCCCAAAACAACTTCTAAAAAAACCAATCTTCAAACCTTCTCTCTTGCTTCAAATACACAGAGTTCTGCTATAATCTAAGTCTGTCGACCTCCGTTGAGTTCAAATAGTGAGGGTGGCATTAGCAAATAGGATTGACATGGACATAAGAAGTAATCTCTTTGAGTTATGACATGTTTGCTGATGAATGATTGGTTTTGAAAGACCTCTGGGATCATGGGAGTTCAAAAATGAGGCTGTTTAGGTGGCATATAAAATATAGTGTCAGTTAAATGTCATTGTTGACTGTTCAGAAAGTATAAACTGATCGAAACAAACCCGATCTGGGTTCTCGTTGCTGCTGGTATGACATTCAACAAACAAAACAAATCATTTACTCACCCTTATGTAATTTCAAATTCTGTATGGCTTTCTTTCTTCTGTGGAAAACAAAAGAAGGTAGTTGGACAATATTCTTCCTTTTTTCGTCCATACGTGAAAGGTCAGTGGGGTTCAATGTTGTTTTGAACCCAACTGACTTTCACTGTATGGATAAAAACAGTTGAAACATTGTTCAAAATGACATGAGAGTGAGTAAATGATGAATTTTTTGGGTGAACTGTCCCTTTAAGAATAGATATGTCCACTGTATATCACAGTGTGTATGAGTGAATGTGATCTTTGAGACTTTGTAGGTTGACTATTGTCTAGTCTCTACTGAAGAGAGTGTGTGTCGATATAGTGAGTTTATGTTGTCTGGGACCCAGAGCTGCACGTCGCTTTGTAATCGTCCTGATCATTTCGCTGCATGTCTCTGTACTGCTTTTGACAACACCTGTTAATTTACGATCACCGACGAACATGATACATACCGCAATCCTTCACACGCACATAAAAACGTCACAGTCTCATTTACGATGAGCGGTTCCAGTCTTTCCCTCCCTTCTGTCCCCCCACCCACCACTAGAAGCCATGTGTTTGTGAGTGTCTCTGTGTGTGTTTGTGCGGGGGTCATATGTTTACATAATTAACCCCAATGAGACATTTACCCTGCCTGAATAAATCATTCAATTGAAGAGGCTGGTAACATGTAGGAATTGTGGCTTAACATATCATGGGATAACAAAATCTGACTTGCATCAAACTGTTTTTGTGTGTCTTAATCTTTCCTGAGGGATCATTATGCATTTTGCAAAGTCTTTTTTCCTTTATTGAGTAGAGTCAAGTTAGCTTTCTAAAGCTGCATTTCATGTAAATATGTTTTTATGCATAAAACAAAATTTTGCCCCCTGCATATTTTTATTAACATTTGGAAATTTTGCACATTAACTGTTTTTGCCCTTGACAGCACGGAGGATTGTAGAGTTTGATAAAGGAGGCAACTGCTAAATTTATGTTTACATTTTTCATTTATCTGATGCTTTTGACTAACCAAAGCATTTTAACTTTACGAGTCACAATATTATGTATAAGCTACAGGAGTATGCAATCTAAATTAGAAGTGAAATCCAGAAAAGAGAAAAAGTTAAGTTTATTTATTTATAATTATGATATTAAACATCATTATGATATTTATGATTTTAAACATGAGGTATAGAAAGTGCTTTTGTTTGTGGTTGAATAAATGTGATTTCGCTGCATGTACTTGACTTCGAGACCCCTCTGGCTTTCTGGTTAAAAGATGGGAAGGGATTACCCAGTAAATGGGTAGTAAAAAAAAAAAAAAAAAACTTTATTTTTTAATGCAAAGTACAATACTTTGCATGGCCTGAAGGAACATTAAATGCAGATTTTTTAAATAGAACAGTGAGCTCCCCATGGCACATTTCAAACAGAGATAATAACGGTCTGAAGAACTGCCTGTGAATATTTGCATTTGTGCTTATGTTGCTTATGTAGAAATACAGGTGAGACCTGGGTTTTTCTCACTAGGGCTGATTTTGGACCAGCACTGAGTGCCATATACAAGAGTTATTTTAGATACTTAAGCGGGTTGTGGGAAATACTTGGGATATAGTGGGATTTCTATTTTGCTTGTTAGAATCATTACAAAATATGCTGAAAATAAAATTAAATAGCAAAGTGCATTTTATAATGGTGATTTTTAGTAATTTTAATGATAATCCTGATGAAGGGGTGGTTGAGCCTTTCTGATGGTACTTTGGGATACCTAAGACAAGAAAGGTTGGGAAATACTGAACTAGATCCAGTAATTCACAAATCCACTCTCCTGAGGGTCCCATCCTTTCTTAGGGCCCAGCTGTGCACGCCACTAGGGTGGGATATTTATGACAAATGTATCCCAAGTAAATCACAGTAATCACCATGGAAACCATAGTCCCGTAACACGGCATCTGCTGCCGCAAAGTGCCTCACGCCAAGTGATAATTACATCTATGAAAAATGGTGGCGGTTGGTGGTATTTGGCGCAGTAAAGTAAGAAATGTTTTCTGTCAGTTTGGGGTGTATGTATAGCTTGGGCTGCTGCAGTAAAGCTCACATCCTGTGCTTTTGTTATATTAAAGGTGACTGGATCATTTTGCCTGCCTTTTGATGGAGAGGATCAGAGAGAGAGCACTTATATAGTGGTGGCTCCTCAAAAGCACACTTTTGCCTGTCAGCACAAAACTAGAGAGAGAGCTGCTTAGTACGTACTTCATGGAGAGCTGTCTGCTTCTGTAGTTCCCTTTCCTTCTCTGATTCTGAATGAGAGTATCTTACACAAACTTCAAATCATCTTACATTTTATTTCTACTGTCTAATTCTGTCCAATTCTGTCTTATATCTCTCATGCTACAGTTTTGGGTTGACTGTTAAATAAAGTTTACCTTGATTAAATAATTAGCTGTTTGGGGTAAGATGTTGTGGCTTAGAGGAATGATTCTTGTTTTCAATGCAAGGGGTGAAATTGACATTTTTACATCATATCAGAAATGTATATCTGAAAATGTGGCACATTTTGATTTGGTCCACGTTTTATTTTTGGTCCTGGGGTAATATAGTGTATATAAGTATAGATATTATAGATATATTTTAGCTTATATAATATAATAATATAACACTTTATTTTAAGGTGTCCTTGTTGCACGTTACCTGTAGAGTTTGATAAAGTGGATAATTGCTAACTGAAATTTACATTTATCCAAAGTGACTATCCAAAGCATTTTATCTTTAGAGGCACAATATTAAGTATAAGCTACATTAGTATACATTATAAGGCAGAAGTGAAATACACTCTGAAAATGCAGAGGAGAAAGAGTGAACTATTTATTTATTTTATGAAATATCATTAATATATTTAATTAAATTTATTATATTTATTATATAATTTTAAATATGAGGTATAGGAAGTACTTTTGTTTATGGTTGAATAAATGTGATTTTGCAGTATGAATTTGACTTCATGACCCCTCTGGCTTTCTGGTTAGAAGATGGGAAGGGATTACCCAGTAAATGGGTAATAAAAAATTAAAAAAATAAACTTTATTTTTTAATGCAAAGTACAATACTTTGCATGGCCTGAAGGAACATTAAATGCAGATTTTTTAAATAGAACAGTGAGCTCCCCATGGCACATTTCAAACAGAGATAATAACGGTCTGAAGAACTGCCTGTGAATATTTGCATTTGTGCTTATGTTGCTTATGTAGAAATACAGGTGAGACCTGGGTTTTTCTCACTAGGGCTGATTTTGGACCAGCACTGAGTGCCATATACAAGAGTTATTTTAGATACTTAAGCGGGTTGTGGGAAATACTTGGGATATAGTGGGATTTCTATTTTGCTTGTTAGAATCATTACAAAATATGCTGAAAATAAAATTAAATAGCAAAGTGCATTTTATAATGGTGATTTTTAGTAATTTTAATGATAATCCTGATGAAGGGGTGGTTGAGCCTTTCTGATGGTACTTTGGGATACCTAAGACAAGAAAGGTTGGGAAATACTGAACTAGATCCAGTAATTCACAAATCCACTCTCCTGAGGGTCCCATCCTTTCTTAGGGCCCAGCTGTGCACGCCACTAGGGTGGGATATTTATGACAAATGTATCCCAAGTAAATCACAGTAATCACCATGGAAACCATAGTCCCGTAACACGGCATCTGCTGCCGCAAAGTGCCTCACGCCAAGTGATAATTACATCTATGAAAAATGGTGGCGGTTGGTGGTATTTGGCGCAGTAAAGTAAGAAATGTTTTCTGTCAGTTTGGGGTGTATGTATAGCTTGGGCTGCTGCAGTAAAGCTCACATCCTGTGCTTTTGTTATATTAAAGGTGACTGGATGATTTTGCCTGCCTTTTGATGGAGAGGATCAGAGAGAGAGAGCACTTATATAGTGGTGGCTCCTCAAAAGCACACTTTTGCCTGTCAGCACAAAACTAGAGAGAGAGCTGCTTAGTACGTACTTCATGGAGTGCTGTCTGCTTCTGTAGTTCCCTTTCCTTCTCTGATTCTGAATGAGAGTATCTTACACAAACTTCAAATCATCTTACATTTTATTTCTACTGTCTAATTCTGTCCTATTCTGTCTTATATCTCTCATGCTACAGTTTTGGGTTGACTGTTAAATAAAGTTTACCTTGATTAAATAATTAGCTGTTTGGGGTAAGATGTTGTGGCTTAGAGGAATGATTCTTGTTTTCAATGCAAGGGGTGAAATTGACATTTTTACATCATATCAGAAATGTATATCTGAAAATGTGGCACATTTTGATTTGGTCCACGTTTTATTTTTGGTCCTGGGGTAATATAGTGTATATAAGTATAGATATTATAGATATATTTTAGCTTATATAATATAATAATATAACACTTTATTTTAAGGTGTCCTTGTTGCACGTTACATGTAATTACTGTAGTATTAGCACAAAATTTAGCATAATTACATGCAATAATCCTAAACCAACCCCTAATCCTAAACCTAACCCTATTGTAAATACATGTTGTTAATTAATATTATTCAGGACTTAAATGTACAATTACACCGTAACAAGGACACCTTAAAATAAAGTGT